GAAACATGGACTGTTTTCTTCTTACTTGGTGAATAACTGTCCAGTCTGGCAGGGATGATGGAATATTAGACATTTGTCTTCATGCTGTGACTTATATTTTAAAATATTTATTTATTAAGCAAAGGTACTGAGCTCAGAGAGCTAATTTTCTACTAAAAGAGGCTTCCGTGCACTCAGTCTGAGCTCCTCTTTATCTAGGAGTGGAAATTCTCACCATCTTCCATAACACTGAAGTCTTGAATGGGGATAGGTTGGCAAAAATATCCTGTAACAAAGTTTCTCTGCTGCTATACAAGAAATTAGGCTTTGCTGTGTACTGAGTGGGAACCTAATGTTGAGCTGCATGAGTTCAGTTTTCATACCTCTGCATATATATAACACGTGAAAGTAGATATATTACGTCTGTGTTTCTAAGACAATGTTGTGCCATAATGGCAGTCACCTGTAATCCCTTAGCAGACTTTCTAAGGTGTTACATGCACATGCTCACTGTGGTACTCTATCTCTGACTTTGCTGTGCTAATTCAGAACAGCCAACAAATTAATGTTTGCTTCTCAGCAGAAAAAGAAATTATTTCTGCTTTGGTATCTAAACCTTGAAAGGAAGTTTCTTATTGAGAGATGTCAGCTCTGTTGCTGGCAGAAATAAACGTATGCTTCAAGTAGCTGTGAGGTATGGTTTTCTTTCATTGTACACTAATAACAGTGTAGCAGTAATGCTGGAATATGATGTCTCTTTAAAGCTTGTTAAGACCTTTGTAAAATATTTAAATATTGAACAAGCAATCTAAATGTTGGTCCATATTAATGCATAAAAACTACACTATTAATTCTGAGATCTATTATCCCAGTGCTTATTTGAAAATAACAAAAAGGTATGTTGAGTGTATTATTCAAGCAAAAAGAAGCATTGCATTTTTCTTAGGTTAAAAAAAAAAAAGTATTTTGCAACAATAAAATAATTAGAAGCTAATTTAATAGTTTTGAAACATAGGAAAGAAATGTTCAAAATTAGAGAAAGGTATGGCTATTGCTAGTGATGTTAAATAACATTTTCCCCTTCTAACAATTTGGAAATATTTATTATGTTAATACATTCCTAAATACGATATACGTCACTGTCATTATGTCCAGCAAATTACAGTAGATGTCTTTTTATTCCACTTTTATTTTCTGCTGGCTTCAATGGAAATGCAATTTTAAGGATATTTTGGTCTTCTCAACTATACAAATGTGTAATTTTCTTTGCTTCCAGCTCCAGCAGTCCCAGCAGTCTTAGCTGTGTTGCCTAGATACTCCATCTCCTGCGGCATCTGTAAATTGGCCAATTCTACAGGAGGATTCATATTCTAAATAAGAGAAATCTTGGGGTGGGGAAGGGAATCATTTGTTAGCTAGTAGCTGGAGTAGTGCTGTAAAGCAAACAAGCATATAAAAACCAAAAACTTACTTTACTTAACAGCAAAATTTGTTTTCTCATTTGTGTGGGATTAATTGGGAGAACTGCTGGTATTTTCACAATTGTGTTATATGTGTGAGGACTACATTAGGTACAGAAGTGTGTTATATCCCGACATGTCTGTCCCCTTCAGGCAGAATGGCTTTTCTGTTGTCTGATCCCCTCCCCTTGAGATACATTTAACAAGTAGCAAGCTCGTATTTTATGTTCAAAATACGTCTGCAGTCATGTTTCATTGTGTGCTTCTTCGAGGAGATGCTTAACTTGTGCTTACTTGAAAATAAATAAATCTGAAGTTAAGAAACTTACATTTACATACATAGATGAAAAGATAAATGAATACACTGAAAAATGCACCTTGTCGAGTGATTGTTGACTCCTTCTCTGGTTTGGTTCCAATAGAATGCAGCAAAAGAAACAGAAGGGTTGTGCAAGTTTTTGGTTTTTTTTTCTTTAGCTTTCTGATACATGTGTTTGCAGGACTTACTAATTAAGTAAAAAAGATTTAAGGAAAATTGTGGCTGATGGTTTCTTCATGTCTAGAGCTTTTTGAATGCAAAGTGTAGAATTTGCCTGCTACGTCTGTAATAAGCTTAAAAAGCTATTACCTAATGACCTTCATTTAATTTTCTCAGTTTTTCCATTTAGTGCTACTGGGTTGTGAAAATAGCAAAATGTGCAAGAAGTTGTTTTGGAACTCACATCTGGAGCTGGATTAAGCTCCATAGTGTGTAATGGTGCAACAGAAAATCTCAACTGATTTACTAAGGAAGAAAACCTTTTATGTTCCTCTGCTTTTGCTCAAATGTTAATTGTTGAGATACTAAAATTATAATATACAGAAGTAGTTGTGGGTTTAAGATATAAGTTGACTGCTTTTTCTTTTCATTTGAAGTTAAAAATGAAAAAAAAAAACTTCTTTTTTCTCTCATTTTGCTTGTTTAACGCTTTTCTGATTGGCAGTTGTACTGTAATTTATATAATGTTTTCTTCCCAAGAAGTTTGCACATTCATTTGTCATCTTTTTTTTTTTCCTTTTTCTTTACTCTGAAGTTAAATCAAATACTTGTGCTGTTTTATAAAGTGATTTGGCAATGTAATTTCTAAGACCTACTTTTATATTGGATGAAGGGCTGTTTCATACGAGACATCCTGTGCATACATGCTGTGAGCATAGCTCTGCAGTAAGTGCTTTCTCATTTAAGAGAGTTTCTCTTCTGCCTTTTCCTTGTAAGCATGAAAATGTTTGTCCTGGTAAATTTTGATTCCAGGCACTTATTGATACTTTAGCAGTTCTGTTGCTCCCTCTTGTGGTTTCTGCCTGTAATTAAGGAAGTTTTTCTAGATCCTGAGGGTTTTCAATCAAAACAATATATTCATCTAGCAAAGTTTGAACACTTACAGAAGTCTGAGCTTAATATTTATTGTAAGAGTTCTCTGATGAAATGTATCTTTTTCAGTTTTATTTTTAAATAGTTTTATTGTGTGAGGAACATCCACAAAATAGGCTGCTTAGGCTGGAAGTCCCATTAGAATAACAACCATCTGGGGCAGAAATGGGTTGCTGAACAGTTTCTGATTTAGTTCTGCACAAAAATAAAGAGGTGACTGTGAATCATTGCTTGTACGTTGATAATTGCACAAACATTTTATGGAGGTGAAAAATAAAATGATGTTTAAAAGGTAGCCTTGAAGTGCAGTTTATGTAATGCTGCCTGGGAACTTAAGCCATGGGTTTTCAAATTATTTATCACATTAAGTGTTGATGTTTAAGAAGGGAAATAGTACTTATGTAAAGTTCTGTTGCGAAAATTTGGTCAGTTTTTTGTTGCTGTTTGTTTGTTTTAAAAATTTAAATGTCTTCCAGTTGCATTGTTTTGGGTCTTTTTTAGTATATGTTATTTTCAGCACATCCATACAACAATGAACTGAGTCTAAACATTCATTGACTTGAATTCTGTTTCACTAAGTTAACTTCAACTTTTTTGCTTATATTTTTTTTCCATTTATATTCTTTCCTTGCATCGTGGGGATTTTTACAGTCAGTTGTTATTACTTACACATTAAAATCAGTAAACTCAAATAGGGAGGAAAAAAATCCAGTCTTCTCAGGGGATGACTATGAAACTCTGCAATAGTCCATTCCTCCAAATCTCTATTAACTTGAGTTGGGCTGGCCAGCTTTTTGTCTTGAGTCTCTGTATGTGCACGAAAAAGGCAAAGTGGTCACATTGCTGCATTGCACTGCCAGAAGTGTTGTGATTATGTGCCGTGCTCCTCTGGGGCACTTGCAAAGGCACAGAGGTTTCTGGGCTCTTTGTGTTCCCAGGTTCCTTGGGTCATTGCTGAAGTGTCAAATTAGCGAAGACCCCAGAGATTCTAGAATTAGAGGTATGCATCTTGTATAGTGTGAAGGAAGCATTTTCAAAGAGGCAAATATTTGTTTTTCTCCTAACGTTCTTCTAGCAAATACTGTATTTGTGGGACAATGCAGAGATTAGTTGTGCCGTGTGAGAAGTCTGTGCGGAGCGGTGGTTCTGCCTAAGCTGTGCTTTGCTCACAGACAACTTTGACAGCAGAAGAAAGGAGCTGGATGTAACAGTGCTTGTACAATAATTTGCAGTGTATTTTGATTTTAAAATGTATCGCCATTCGTGTAATGATATTCACATCTGTAACTCAGGACTTACATCTGTATAATGCAGTCTGATCATGCGGGCCGTTTTAGTTATTGCTTTTGGTACAAGAATACATTCAGCAAGGTGGAATAAAATGGACAATTTTGTATTGATAGTTCCTCAGATTAATTTCTGTGTATAATCTCTTTTTTTTCCAATGTTTTCTCAGCTGTAGAGCCTGCAAGAATTAGATATGTTAAGTATTGTTTAAATATTTTTTTCCTTAAGTAGGACACAATGCAGTTTGCTTAGTCTTATCCAGGTAAGGTGTCTGGCAGCATTGGACTCTTTTTTCCTGAGTAATTGTACAATATCCAAAAGAATGGGCTCTGATTTCAGTGGGATCATTGAGTACTGCCTTGCAGATGCCATCAGCTACCTGTGTTATTTGATTTGCAGCCTGAAGAAATTTAAAGTTAAGTCCAAGACTGTAGACAGCATGGTATCTAACATAGCGGTTAGCTGATCTCTTTTAGATTCTTAGTGCCTTTGACAGTGTTGTTTAAGTGCAGTAGGACTGCAGAAGTTAGAGAGATTTGTTCTTTTTTGAAAGGATTTAATTAAAAAAAAAAAAAATCGCACCAGTACCAGCATTAAAAAACAAAAACAAACAAAAACAAAGCAAGCAAACAAGCAAAAAAAACCTTGGAAATTATTTTATGAAAGATATCATAATTTTATCACGCCTAGACATCAGTCTCCTCTAGCTTTCTGGTATTAAATAAGTAGGATTTCTTTTGCGTGCCTGCAGAAATCTTGAATGAGAACAGATGTCAGTGGGAAGTAACGTCACCATGAAATTTTGAGCTGACAGATTATTTGATTTTCTTGGGAAGTTTTCACATTTTGTTTTGCCTCTCTAGGAAACCTTCTCATCCTCAGCTGGAAGCTTTCATTAAACACATGTCCAAAGGGTCTGCAGCCCAAATGGATGGTACCCTAAGCAGCCTGCCTCGTTACCCTAGTCATTCTCTTTGTGAAATGGGAGAGCTTACACAGACTGGTAAGTTTCCATGGCAGCTTTACATTTTCTTCTACTCTCTTAACACAATCTGCTTGAAAACATATGCTCTATTTTTCTTAATAAGTGCTTTTCTTTGGGAAAATTATAATATTGGTCATAGGTTGGTTTTGCTAGGATAGGAGTCAAGTATTGAACTCTCTGCCACAAAAGTGGTATCCATCCAAGAAACTGAGCATTTTTCTATAGCCTGCTTGCGTTCTGTTAGAGGTCAGTCACCCTTGGCATCTCTTTCAACTTTATTTTTAAGAATTTAGAACAACTTTGATGTTGTTCCAAACCACAAAATTGCTTTGTCACCCTTATGAAAAATGGCATGGTGGAAAATTACAGTCTTTCAGAGGAAGGTTTGGTACTCTCTAATTGGTTAGTTTGTGATTCAGAAAGGTCCTGGAACTGAAGAGCAATCAGTTGCCAGTTTTCACCTGTGAAGGAACTGCTGAGTCTACTTCAAGAAGATTCAGATGTAACAAATTTGTTTGTATTATCAAAATAGAACATCTTTGAAATATCTGATGTTTTTTAAAGTTTTTCTTTGTCCCCTGGTTGTGGCTCTGGGCAGCCTGGTCTGGTGGTTGCTGACCCTGCAGAAAGCAGGGGAGTTGAAACTAGGTGATCATTGTGGTCCTTTTCAGCCCAGGCCATTCTGTGATTCTCGTCTTCAAGAATAGGTGAGGCTCAATTTTGCTGTTCATAGTTTTTAACAGAGCTTTAAACTGCTAGCTGTATTTTTTTTCCTTCAAAACTAAGAAGATTATAATCATGTGTTGTACCTTCTTAAAAAACTAAAAAGCAAAAAATCTCTTTCAGGTGTTGTACAGCACTTGCGAAATGGACAACTATTGCGAGAAATTTATATAAACAAACATAAACTGCTTCTGAATGACTGGACGGCAAAGCAGCTCTACTTGGAGACAACAGGAAAAAGCCGAACCCTGCAGAGTGCACTGGCGCTGCTTTACACCTTTTTGCCAGATTTTGACTGGAAAAAAATTAACATGAGGCATCAGTGGAGCACCATTTTTTGTTCTGGAAGCTGCGACTGTCCTATGCGGAACCACTACCTGGAAGAGGAACAGCGCAGGCAGTACAGCTTACGGGTGAAGAACGGTGATTTGGAGAAAATATATGTGGATATGGCAAAGATTGTTGGCATTCCTACCAGGCAGTTGAGAGCCTCTAACCCAATAGATTCTCTCTTGTGCTATTTTTGCCACAATGTCAGTTTCCCCTGTACCAAAACTGGCTGCATCGGTATGGAACACTTCAAAGTAATCAAAAGACATCAGTTGGAGGATGAGAGAGAAAGACAGGAAAAGAAACTTTATTTCCTGTATGCCCTGTTGGCTACTCACCCTCTCCTCAACCAGACTGTTAATCGGCTTCAGCGAATTGCAGAAGGCAAGAAAGAAGAAATATTCGTTCTTCACTCTGCACATGATGTCACACTGTCACCTGTTCTTAGTGCCTTGGGCATTACAGAGGCCAGATTTCCACGATTTGCTGCCAGATTAGTTTTTGAGCTGTGGCAGGATGGGAAGAGACCCAAAGAACACTTTATCCGCATCCTGTATAATGGTGCTGATGTCACATTCCAGACCTCATTCTGCAAGGATTACTATAAACGTTCCAGCAAGCCAATGTGCCCGCTAGAAAAATTTGTTAGCTTTGTTAAGAGGGATATGTTCTTAGTTTTTAACAGCACTAGTTATTATGATGCATGTCGTAGAAGACCACTGTAGGGAAGAAAAGTGAAACTGTTAACTTCTGTGTAGGTGAAAGTCTGTATTCTGGTTGAGGCACATTTCAGTTCTGTTGTTTCTTGACAAATGATATTGCTTGGAACATTCTTCAGTTTCATTTTCATTCAAACTGTAGATGGTGTCCAGTAGAAGAACAGATCTGAGAAAGTGTTTTGTCTGTGTTAACTATCATGAATTGATAAACCACATGAGCTACTGTAATGCTGGACTTTGCTTGATAGAGTGAGAGAGCACAGATTTCATTTCCCTATATTCCAGAGCAATACTTGCACACCACGAGTTTAAAAACAAAGCATTCTTTTTTCACCATCATCTTGTAATCACGTAAGCAGCTGTATCAGGATATTTATAAAAGGTCGGACGTCTGTTTGTAGGATATTCTGGGTGTTCCCTACTCAGAAAGCATTTTAATATTTAGGAACAGGACTTTAAAGCGAAGTGCTTCATTATACCTGAGCATGTACAAATGAGTGTGTGCCTTTCTGACCTCACAGACCTACAGATACTTACTTATGTTGCCTGTGCCAGAGAAGGGTGTACTGGAAAATGTGTGCAAAACTCTGTTCTCTGACTGCACTTTTAGCACTTTGAACAATACAAACACAATCTACAAAAATGTAATGGTCTTGTTATATAAAAATAGGTAACAAACACTAATATTACCACTAAATCTGAATGGGAAATTAGGATTATAAATCAGTTTTACAGTGAGATGTGGGCTTTTTCCCATTGTGAACATGCTCAAGCTGCCATGCTATAAACAAGTCAGTGTTTTTGGAATTTGATATAGTGGCTGCTTGAGACAGCTTGACTAAACACTAAGAATTTTGTAGCTGATTTTAGTATTTTTATGGGCTAGGAAGCTCTTATTTTGTATGATCAGACTTGTGTACCTACTGCACTGTGTAAATTTCTGACACAGTAGATCTTTCATACTTCAGTTTGTAAAGAGTTGTGAAAGGCTGACTTTCGGACATTTTTTCCCTTGATCAGGATGTACAGACTTAAGAATAAACTGTCTTTTATTGGTAACTTGAGCAATGTGTAGGTATGAGAACTTGTATCCAAACTGTTTTCATCTCTTTAGGAATAGTAAATTGAGAAATAGTTTTTAATAGAAGCTGTAGAAATTTTATAATTCTGGAGGGTGGGTTTTTTACACATCTAGAAATAACGTAGTCTGTGACTCGTGACTTGGTGCTAGTTTATTAAAAAAAAAACCACCACATAATTAAGCATAGGTCTCTAACTGATGATATTTCACTCTGTTTTCAGTGCTGCATTTGAATGTATTTCTTTAAATAAAAATGTAGGGACTCTTTGTGAATTTGTGTGTTACATTTATTTTTACTTCCTTAGTTGTTAGCAGTAACAAGCCTAAGTGTATTTTGTTAAGCTGCTTGTTGCTTTAATAACTTCTGCATTGGCTCACTTCATGTGTTCCTGTTCCAGATCTGAGAGGGGGCAGGTAAACACTTCATCAATATCAGATTAGAGTGTGTAACTGCTGAAAAAGTTTTCTTTCCTAAGCCCAAATGGATGCACTCTATTAGTCATCATATGCATTTGCCTGCTGGAGGGCAATCAGGAAGACAAAATGTGAAAGCTGAGCTCAATTTTATAAATTATGTGAACTGGACCATTTCTCTAAAATAAGTGCCAAATAGTCCAAGCAGTTCTTCAATAGTTTGCTCTGCAGAGTGATATCTGTTGGAGTTTTAATGATCTTTGGTGACCATTTACAGGAATCATGCAGAAGTGCAGAAAACATTACTGTGTGCCTATTATTGGTGTTTTATATCTGTCTGTTTTTTTAATTCATGTGTGTGGGAAGAAAAAGGAAAGCAAGCTAATTAGTCTTCTGTATCTGCACAGTTTCTGACTATAAGCTCTTCTGAAACACTTGGTACAGCTCTAATGCTACTGGAAGATCTAAGAGAAAGAGCTGTGAGGCTGAGGTCCTGTATGCAACTTCCTGAGTTAGTTATGGAAACAGAATGGTGAGCCAACTGCATTATCAAACTCAATGGCAAGGTTTTAAAATTTGACTTAGTTTATGATTAAATTGGTACCTGAGAGTGAATTTGAATTTGAGTCTTAGATCTACCTGGGCAATGGAGAAAGGCATATCCTAGGTCTCATGAATACACTTCTGGGATGGATGGATGAATTAGACCTTTCAAACAGGAAACCTTGATCTGAGCAATTGCAGGGTTTTATCAAACAGAACAGAAATAAATGCCGTTGCTTCAAGGAGTGCTGTTTGAGATCCTGTTGTTGCCTTTAAATTGGTGTAGGACTGGGACATTTTGTGCATTGTGTGCAGTATTTAGAAACTAGTGTTTAAACATGTTGAGTACTTGTGGCTGGGTTGAAATGTGTCATGTTTTTCCTTATAAAATTCAGCTTACATATATCTCAGTGAGTGCTGAAGTGAAGTCTCGTTTTTTGCCCTCTACTTGTTTCAGTTCTGGTAGGTATAACAGCCTTAGTTTCAAATGCTCTTTGAACATTGGGAATGTCATATAGTTTTGTTTGAGCTGTTTATTTTATGTTTGTATTTAGGAGTGCCCAAGAAGGCAGTTAAATGCAAAACATTTGCATGTAAAATAGCACAGAAAGAAGATTCTCTTTGAAAAACGCATTATGACAGCTAGGAAAGATAAAGAAATAGGTGCCCTCTCGTGGTGACACACAAATGATTTAGTGTGAATTAACTGGGGAAAAAAAATCATGCCTTTGCTTTGGAATTGCAGCATTGTGGAAAAGCAATGTTAACAAGTATCCCGTCAATGACTTCCATCCTGCAGACTGAAAAGGAGACCTCATTTTCCGCAGTGTAAGTGAATTACTGTTAATTTATAGCAGGTGCTCAAAATCTTGTGAGGTGAAGTGGGGATAATGATAACTGTGAAACCTGTTTTGAAGGAGTTCATGTTGCTGAGCATAAGTGTATTCTCCAGGTCACTGCAGCTTTGCTGTCCTATGTATCAAGTTCAGCCCTACTCTTTTCAGCAGAGCAAGTTTTGAAGTTAATAAAGCTGATAGTATATGGAATTATAAAGCAGAATTGACAGTTTGCTGGCTCTGTCTCTAGGGGTTTGCTGGCCTTGTGGTTTGATTTCTTCCCCTTTTCCACATGAAAGGAGCCATGCTATGTGTGTATACTCTGTCAGTTTTTCAAGTAGCTGAGATGTGACAGGCTTTGAATCGCACAGTCAATATCAGTTCAGCTATTGCCTTGGAAGCACAACTGATCTTGACAGTATTTGGACTCTTCCTGTAGAGAACTAAAATTTAAAACCATTTAAAAAAAAGAAAAAAAAGAAAAACCTTGCAAAGAGCAGTTAGATTTTCTCTGATCTTCTTGAATGAAACAGTATTGTGGATTTAGGCTCAGTAACGAGTATTGCTGCTGAACACTAGAAATTACTGTGGCAATTTCTGTTAAAAGGCAACAACAACAACAGCAAGCAACAGCAGCTAACATCTTGTAAACATGTGATGGGATGCAGCAAATCAGAAAATATCCCAGGTAAATTAATTTTGCATTCTTTTAAATTTCCAAGGTGATAAACTGCTTAATGACTTTACTGAGTGACAGAACTTTTCAATTCCTTCCATGTAGTTCAAGAAGCAAGCATGCAAATACCTCAATTTCCCCTCTCATTTCTCACCATCACAGCGAACATTATAATGATAAGTTAAGCATTACACTTACTTGGTTGTCCTCTGTGCCTGATCACCACAGTCTGTCCTGTAAACACATTAAAGTTTATTAATGTTTAATAATGAATGAGAACAAATCAAAATGAAGTAGTCTGTGTTTCTCTGATAAGCTTGAAGACATCATACAACTGAAATGCAGTCTGTTCTGCATATGGCCAATTAATTGCTGTGTGTGCTACTGTGATTTTTCTCCCTTGAAGGCTGGCACAGCCCCTTGCAAGGGCTGCTGGTTTACCCAGAGCTCCACTCACAGCACAGGAACTGAGGTTTGCTTATGCTGTTGTTCCTTCAAACTGAAAACAGAAATGGGTGAGGCCTTTGTTTCCAAAATCCTGGACAGCCATATTCAAAAGTGACTTTGCTCTACTTTTAAGCTATACATTTGGATTGCCCTGACAAAAATCATTGTTAAAAGCACTGAAAATTTTACTAAAATTCAGAAAAAAGGGGTAAAAAAAAGTCATGTCATTTGAAATGTAAAGCATTCCACTTCATTTGAAGACAGTTATTTTTGTAGAGGGAAAAAATAATATGTATATGTTTCAGTCTGTAAGATAGCATTCAAAAGTGGTCACTAGGGAACCTGTGGGGTGAGGGGGATGGGGAGGGAGTTGAAGTGCTGAAGGTGTTGCTGTGGGAAGTCCCTTGCAAAATGGGACAAACAGGACAAAAAAGGAATTGTTGATATAGAAAATACGTCTTCCATCTCTTTTGCTTATTCTCTCATGAATCTGCCCTGCAGCAGGTAGAACAGGAGGCTGCTTTAAGTATACCAAAACCTTGTCTTGGTACAAGGCTATGTAGATATTGCCTTCATTCTGTAGTGTTCACATCTGTGTTGGCAAAGAAGCAGGGTCTGCCAGTGAAAAGAGAAAGGGAAGGAATGTGAAAGAGAAGACAGCAGGTGTGATTCAAGTTACAGATTCCAGTTGCATGTTGTGCAAAGGTCTCTGAATGTAACCCCTTTCTCACTGTAGTCAGGATCTTTGTTAGGTTATGTAATAAAGGGCTCATTTCCATGAACACAAAAGATCACAGAGCAACAATGATGGATGAGGAACCCCATCTTGGAGAAGCAGAGCTCCAGTTACTCATAAGGAGTGACACAGGAGAAGGACCAGCCCAGTTGTCCAGGTGGGAAACTGTAAGTCAATGGAAGAGGCTCTCTGGGTTACCTTGCTCCCTAAGGGGTGTTATTGTCTACTTGAGTTATGGGATTCATTATAGGGTGCAGGGGAGGAGCGCCTTTGGATTGTACAAGGCTTGTGGGATGCACCAAAAAGGAGGAAACAAGGTTGTTTGAGGAAGAACAAGCATAAGAAAATGGGGTGTTAATGGAAAAAAAGGGTTAGCTGCCTGAGAAGAGGTTGCTAAGCGTTACACTTATTTGGTTGTCCTCTGTGCCTGATCACCACAGTCTGTCCTGTAAACATATTAAACTGCATTTCTAACCATTTTCTTGGATGGATGGGATTGTTCTGTGTGCGTATGTGGAGCTCCCTATGATCCAGAGTCACAGGGGCCTGCATGCCTCAGATGTCATCGGTTGGAGGGATGTATGCTGTACGTATATATGGCAGTGTGTATCATAAATCCAGGTTGGTATAGTCACAGCCCAAGGATCCAGGACCAGCTATGGGACAGACAACATCCAAGGCCTGTTAAGGAGGTAACATGATGCATATGTGTGGGTGCACGTCTGCATGCATGGGTGGGAGGTCACTGAAACGTTAAAGGTTCCAGGCCAGCTGCCGGATTTGTCCCACTTCTACAGGGCTGCTGGACTTGGCAACTCCACACACTTTTGTAATCAGAGTGGTGTGAGAAGGGGATCTGCAGATTGAAAAGCTGGGAAAGTTGGCACTGACAATTATATATATAAAGTTATTTCTTCCTTGAGGAAACCTGACTGCCTCAAAAGTGATGAGCAACAGAGAGGAAGCCAAGCCTGGTTTCTGATGAGCTGATGCTGGTCCCCTGGTTTCTAATTTCAGTCTTCTTTTCAAACTGGTCATACATTTGATAATTTCACGATGCTGAAGCTGAGAATTTGTGAGGGGTGCAGTAAGATGTGCGATCCTGTCAGCACTTCAGTCCTGTGTGCTTCTGCTCACTCACTGCTGGTGTGAGCAGCATCTGAGCAGCAGTGATTGTGGATTGCATCGCAGGCAGCATCACGCACTGTCTGTGTGCAAAGGAGATGTCAACCTCCCATCCCTGTACTGAGGGCGGGGTGGCCAACCCGTGAGCCACTCAGCAGTCACTGGGATTACTTGCAGCTTGCCTGAGTTGATACCTGTCACTGACAACTGTTACCCTGCCAGAAATCAGTCCATGAAATTCTGTTCATGTTGACATGAACAAGACTCTTGTCTTGTTGGTGAATAGGAAGCTCTTAACTTCAGTAAGATTTTCAATAGGTTCATAGCAATGGAGAAAAAGCTAGGGAAAGATATTTATTCTAGACTGTAGCCAGCCTCCTTCTTTCAAAATCCAAAAGGAGAAGAAAGAGTAAAGAGATACTCAGACTGCAATCAAATATGGCCAGGGTTTTTTTTGTTTTTGTTTTTTTAATTTCTGCCTGACAGTAAGGGTCCTTGGTGTATTGATGAACCGTTGGCTGAACACAAGCCAGCAGTGTGCCCAGGAGGCCAAGAAGGCCAACGGCATCCTGGCTTGTATCGGGAACGGCGTGGTGAGCAGGACTAGGGAAGTGATCCTGCCCCTGTATCAGCACCGGTGTGTGAGGGGCAGTCCAAGCTCTCTCCTCGTAGCAGAGATGCTTCTGTCCTCCCAAGAGCTTGGCTGCTGTTTGCGGGGCCTGGCACGCGGTGCCGCGCGTGGTCCCCGGAGCTGCACTGCTGCTCTCAGACCTCTCTCAGCCGTTCGGCGTCCTCGGTGTCCGGCCGCGCCCGTTCAGCTCCCACTGCCAGGAGAGGCTGTGGATGATGTTTTGCTGTTTGTTTGCCAGAGTCCATCCACAGGCTTTCACAGGGGCTGTTTCACAAATCTTGAACATTAAATGATTGTTTGAAGTATCAGGTGTAACAGATTTTGGGTTGCTGTTGATAAATGCACCAGCTGGAATAGCTCTGGTACAGGCTATGAAATCAACGCTATTCTAAGTATTACTCACTGAGAAGTAAGGGGACAGTGCTTACTTTCCCTTCTCCTAACCTTACTTCTTCCTCTCTCAGTGGTGACTGACTTTTAACATGACTTGGGTGGAGAGTCAAGCACTATGGTAAAACCATAGATTGGCTTGGGTTGGAAGGGGCCTCAAAGACCATCTAGTTCCCACAATTCTGTTGTGGGCAGGGTTGCCAACTGCTGAATCAGGCAGCAAAAATCAGGTTGCCCAACTCCCCATCCAAACTGGTCGGGAACACCTCCAGGAATGGGGCATCCACAGTCTCTCTGGGCTGTATTTGCTGGTACTTCATCACTCTGTCGGTGAAAAGTTTCATCGTAATGTCTAACCTAAATCTCCTTTCAAATCTCCCCTCTTTATTTTAAAACTGTTCCCTCTCATTCTATCGCTATCCAACAGTTTTAAAAGTTCATTTTCCTCCTGTTTATCTGTGTTAGAAGTGCACTATCAGGTCTCTCCTTAGCCTTCTTTTCTCCAGGCTGAACATGCCCAGCTCCCTCAAACTGCTGTTTTGCTCCAATTAATAGGAGGGAGAGGAGGTTCTTTGATACCTGCATACCCGGCGTGAGATTAAGAAACAACGGTTCAAATGTTGGTCTGACCAGTTTATTACAAATGTTAACAAGGGAGACGGGGAAGGGGAGGATGGACACTATTATGAATTAGGGTAATGGGGAAGGGAAGGAGGGTGATAGAACAGATAGGAAAGAAGATGCAAGGAGTCTTTGTGGGAAGCAAGAGGGAGATGGTCACCACCATGGATCCAGCGTGGTTTGTAGTTCAGTCAGTGATCTTCAGTAGTGGTGGGTCATCAGGTGTTGTTCCATTGAGGACTATGGTGACCACGGTGATGATGGCGACTACTTTCCAATGGTAGCATGAACTTATAAGTCCAGAGTGGCTGAGTCAGCTCTTTTGGAACGACAGCTACCGGCTTTTGGATCTCTGCAGGAACTCCTTTTGTTCCCATCTTCCAGGCCTTGTCAGCAGATACGAGGGAGCAGGGTGGCGTCCACTTGTATCTTGCCTTCACAGGATACAAAGGTGTCATCCCCCGATCTCCCATAGCAAGCTGGAGTTATTTGGTCACAGGCTAGGTCTTCTGCCAGTCCTGAGCACTCTCTCCCAAAGGCAAACAGCTAAAATTGTGCACACAGTGATGTTGATTGCTACACGGCAACACCCAT